AAGGGAGCACACCAAGATTTATACTGGTTCACCACAACGTGTGGCTAATCCAGTCTCCCGAGAGACTCTCTCGAGCTACACTACTTCCGTTAAGCTTACGGGTGCTTAACAAACCGTTACAACCTGAGAACTCGAGTCCCACGAGCCTCAACAACACTTGCTCGGAGATACCGCACTCCAAGACTTCAACCCGAAGGAAAAACACCTTTCCTTTGTACAACCAAGGGAAACAAGCTTCCCTTAACGTGTATACAACACTAAACACTCAAGAACAAGACTCTCTTTAAGAGTAGATGATGAGTAAACTAAGTACGCTCAAGAACAACTCAAACTTCACACAAATTGGCTCTAGAAAGCTTTGGAAAATGATGTTGTTTAAATGCAATGATAATATGAATAATGTGAAGTGAATTGCTGAGAAAAGCAGACCCAAACACCCCTTTTTATAGTGCCAAAATAGGCTCCAACGGACCAATACATTAAAAGGGTGATTGGCTTGATTTATGGGATTGAATAAATTTGGGATCTGCAGGATATTGGCTTCCCATCGATGTTTAGACTCACCCATTGCTAGTAAGCCAATTTTCCTTTTGTTTTGAAGCCAACGGTCACCTACCCATCGATGGGAAAATGCTTCCCATCGCTGGGTGGGAGGTTGACTTTCAAACAAGGAAAGAATCAGCCTTAAATGACTTGCAACGGTCATGCCTAACCAGCCATGGGTATGCCCTCCCATCGCTGGGTTCCCATCAATGGGTAAAGGTTCCCATCGCTGGGTAAGGGCATTCTGCCTTGTGAAAATGTTGGACCAAGGCTTAAACAGCGATGGGTAGAACTTCCCATCGATGTTTGGCATGGTTCTGGAAATCAGTTGGGCTGAAGGCTGCTTACCCATCGCTGGGTAATATCTCCCATCGCTGGGTAGAATGATTCTGGAATCCCGGGATCACTTACCCATGGATGGGTGATATCTACCATCGCTGGGTAGATGGCTAGCCTAGAACCATGACCTAGCTGACCGGCGCTGAAACCCGACCGAAAAATGCAACGTTCTCCAAAGTAAAAACTAAGTATTTAAAACACTTATTTAATGTATTGTGATGTCAAAACAAGCTTTGTAAGTTGAAAACCACGTCGTTAAGGTAAAAACCACGGTTGACCAAGTCAACACCGTACATGGGTGGTTTTTACCAAAAGACAAAACTGAAAGGTGGTTTTCATGATGTTTTGATTGGAGAACCATTTAAATTTATTCAAAAACAATTCCCCCACAAAAAGACTCGAAAAACACTTCATTTAAGTAAAAACCACGGCTAGCCAAGTTTATGCCCTTTTACGTGGTTTTTCCTAAACGACCAAAAACGAAAGGTGGTTTTCAGGGTGTTTTTGTTGGAGAACTGTTTAAACATGCCGAAGAGTGAAAACCAATCATAAAACGTTGAAAACCACTGGGTTGGTTTGGACGCCAAAAACCAATGCCGATAACCGAAAGCCGAACGCCGGTTTCTAAAAGCCGAACGCTGAATGGCTTGGTTTTTGGTTTGGGCGAACACCAAGTGTTTTTATTGACTTAAACAAGTTTGAAAGGCATTTTTATGATGTAAGAAATGCAATGATATATTTTAGCCTAAAGAGCCAGTGCGTGAGGGTTGGGTCGGTCTTGATCACAACTATGACCGACTCAACAATACTAAAGACTGCGGTCTTCGTTTTTGGTCTCTTTTAGCTCTTGTTCTTTATCTTCGTTCTTCGCCTTGTATATTCAATGTTTGTCTTGATCACGGCGGTTTGGCATTATCAAAACCTGTCATAAAAACAAACACGGCTTTAGTACGAAAACACAAATAACCCGTGTTTCAACAATTTCCCCCTTTTTGATAATGGCAAACAAGATGGGGTTATGCATAGGAGGATTAATTTGAGACTTAAAAATGTTCCCCCTTAATAAATGAAATTTTCTTTTCAACAAAGTTTATGTGTTGAATAAGAGTTAGTTTTAGAAAAAGTTCCCCCTCAATCTATGCATAACCTTTATATCTTCCCCCTTTTGACATTAACAAAAAGAATTAAAAGTAAACTTTTATTCATTAAAAGGGAAATGCGGAATACAACGGATAAAAATACAATCATATTTAATAAGGAGAAAATATAGAAGAGGTCGTGGCGTCGATGTTGGCCTTCTTCTTTGAAGCCTCGGTTTTGGTCCTTGACTTTCCTCTGGCCATTGATGAAGCGTTTAGAAAGTGAGTAGAGGCTTAAAGTATGCAACAGGAATGTGAATTGTGTGTTAAAAATGACCAAGGATGGTTAATATTTATAGGAAAAGAGAACTTGGGCCCTTGGTGTTCAAAAATATGGCTGTTGGGCATTGAATGAGGTTCCCAACGGCTATGATTTTTGAATTGCAGCAGGCTTCCCAGCGATGGTAAGGTTCTCCCATCGATGGGAAGACAGGTGCTGGAAAGGGAGGAAAAAGTGAAGGCAGCCTTCCCAGCGATGGTAAGGTTCTCCCATCCATGGGAAGACAGCTACTGGAAATCTGTTAAAAAATTTTTTTAAAAAAAGTGTCAAACACCCAGCGATGGGAAGAAGTTCCCATCGATGGGAAGAAGTTCCCATCGATGGGAAGAGGACTACTGGTTAGAAAATACTTCCTTCCCAGCGATGGGATAAACCACCCATCGCTGGTTCCCCCTGAGTTCCTCACTTTGATACGTACCTGCAAAAAAAACAACACTTTGGTACCCAAAGTATGTCTATGGGTCCTTGGGGGTTAGTTAACCTTTATTGCCCACACACACTCAAAATTCGTTTCCTTACGCCCACACACACACACACACGATTAGATGATCGTTTAGGAGTTACCTTGGTCAACCCATGATCTTGTGGTTGGCGGGTTCCAGTCTACCTGAACGGAGTGTCGATATCTTGGTGTGATTTGTGTTGGTTCCGGTAACGGAATGTGGACTTTTTTCTTTTCATCAAAGTAGAAGAAATAGTATGGTTTCTTTTGTGCATTATCCTGTGGAGATTGTTTATGATTCGAATATCCTTTTCCAAAGGATTTCTTTTCGTTAGGACTGAACATGTTGTGTGTTTCATTAAAGGTCAAGTGCCTATGTCTGGTGAAACACACAGGTGCTCTGTGTCCTACCCTATCGCAATAATGTCATACTACGTTTGGGTTGAACATATGCCTAGGTTGGTAATAGCTAGGAGGTCTCACCATATTCATCCTATTTTGAGAAAATATTGGTTTTTCGGTATTTTGAAAATTCTCTCTTCTTGGTGTTCTAAAATTATTTCTATGCATAACATCATTTTGATAATTCCTCCTAGGTTGCCTAGAGTGCTCGTGTTCACGACTAACCTTTTGTCTAGGTTGTCTATTATTTTTATTTTTATCTTTCTTAGGTTGAGCTCTAGGTGGTTTACGGTTGTGCTCAACTTTTTCTTTATTTTTAGGTTCATCAATCTTCCCAAAACCTATTCCTTGTTTAGTGTATTGCATAGAATCAAAAACAAGATTAAGATCCTTATGTGGTTTATTAAATTTCTTCACCGTGTTTTCTAATTCAGCAACTTGTTCTTTCAAAGCTATGCAAGAGTCACAATGTTTTGTAGAGCTCTCGGGTTTGTCGGCGCTTCTTTTACCATAAAATTTGTTTTCCTCTTTTAGTTTTTCGTTTTCCTTTTGAAGTTTTTCAAACTCAATTTCAAGATTAGAAAAATGTTTCTTTAAAGCTTTGTTGGTTTTAGAAGCGCTAACAAACTCGTCATAAAGCTCTTGGAGAGCTTCTTGCATTTCTTCAAAAGAATTAGTACAGGTAGAAGAAATACGTACCTCTTGGTTTTCGTTGTTGGTGGACTCCTCTTTTTCTTGAGCTATGAGACAAAGATTTGCTTCCTCTTCTTCCTCTTGTTCGCTTAATTCATCGCCAGAGTCTCCACCCCAAGAGATGTATGCTTTTTGCCTTTTGAAGTGACGAGCATTCCTTCCGCTTCTTGGACATTTGTTCTTGATGTGCCCGGCTTCACCACATCCATAGCACACAGGGCCATCCTCAACCTTTTCTTTCTTCTTTAGAAGTTTGCAAAATTTCTTTATGATAAGCTTGACTTCATCATCATCGTTTGAATCATCCATTGTTGATTCTTTGACGGCTTTTAATGCTATCCCTTTCCTTTGGTCATTCAAAGACGGGTTAAGAATAGTAGATTCATAAGTTTTTAGATTACCTCTTAGACCGTCAATGGTGACATTTGATGTGCCGATTGATTCATAGATGGCATCGGCCTTGGATCGCCATTCGGATGTCAAGCTCCGTAGGATCTTTCGCACAAGATCCCTGTCTGTGTAGGTCTTCTTTAATGCATGAAGATCGTTGACTATCTTGGAAAATCGGTCGAACATGTCCTCAATCTTCTCGTGCTCCTTCATCCTGAACATCTCATACTCTTGGGTGAGGAAGTCAATCTTGGCTTCCCGTACTTGGTCCGTTCCTTCGTACGTCACCTCGAGCTTATCCCACATCTTCTTGGCGGTTGAGCAGCAGGAGATCTTGCGGTAGTCGTCGGGGTTGTTCGCACAATAGAGCATGTTAATCGCCTTTGCGTAGTTCTCTACTTTCTTGATGTCTTCAGCATCAAACTCGTCTTCGGTTTTGGGGATCAACTTGTCTCCGACTTTCTTCATCGGCACCTCTTCCCCGTTTTTGATTACCAACCATAATTGGAAGTTCGTGGAACAAATATAGATTCTCATTCGTTCTTTCCAATATGTATAATTGGTTCCATCAAAAAGAGGTGGCCGTGTGGTTGATTGCCCTTCACCTATTCCTGCATACAAATTTCTAGAACAAGAACCCATGATCGCTTTTCTCTCAAACGGTTAAGTTTGGACGCGAGTTAGGCTCTGATACCAATTGTTAGAATAAGTGACCAATGCTAGAGGGGGGGGGGTGAATAGCGTTTGATCGTAGAAATCGCAGGAATAAAAAATAAAGAACGTGAAAGGTAAAGACCGTAGAAAGCATAAAGGGAGCACACCAAGATTTATACTGGTTCACCACAACGTGTGGCTAATCCA